GGAAAAAATGCAAAACGACTGATGTCCTGCCTGCCTGACGGGTGAGAATGGCCGGCCAAGGCGGGAAATCCGAATTTTAAAATGTTTGATATAGAAAAAAAAACCTTACAATTTTATTTATGTGGCTCCTGGTTAGGCGTTTGGGTCTGATTCCGGATGGGGCCAGAGCCTATATTCGGCAATATTCTTTTTCATTTCTGTAGTATTATGCCTCGAGCCTTAAAGCGGATTCTTCGACAATTTTCAAGAGAATTTTTTTTTTTTTTTTTTTTTTTTTTTTTTTTAGAAGAGGAGGTTGAAGAAACATTACTCACAAAAAGTAGAGGTAGAGCGGACGTATAAGGTAAGGGATGCTGTCATCAATCAAGATGATGTACCGCATCGAGCCAAAAAGCACCCAAAAACTCTAACCGTAGCTGGAAAATTCAAACTTTGGGCGAAGGAATCGGTCTTAATTGGAAAATTAAGCATGGAAACATCAAGAGCTGCACCGAATTGTTTCTTTATTCACGGTTTATTTATTTTTCACTGTTAGTTCACCAGTTTCAACCCACTTGTTGGGCCACTAGACACGGTAAAAAATTAAGCTCCGCGCCATGCATATTCCGTCTCTTCATGAAAAGTTGTTTTTTTCCAGCGATTCAAGAAGAAGAGGAAGCAGGGCCGGATAGAGCCGGGCCCCGAGCTTTGCGGGCCCCTGACGCTGTTTTTTTTTTTTTTTTTTTTTTTTTTTTTTTTTTTTTTTTTTTTTTCTTTTGTAATGGGGATCGGGCCCGCAATTTGAGGAAGCCCGGCTTTCAAGGGGCCCAGCTTAGTTCCTCCCTCAGCTAAGATTGTTTTTCTAACATCGAAGAAATCATAGACCGCATTGCTTTTTCTTTCAAGCTTTTCAAGAAGCTTATACTTTTCTGATCTCTTCCTTAACCAACTGAGACTGTGAGCACAGTCATTTTTCTTTTCTTTCTTTCCTTCTTTAAAGTAAAAAATTAAGCGCGGCGCCATGCATATTCCGTCTCTTCATGAAAAGTGTGTGCTAAATACACGGACGCAGGCACACGGATGTATGGTGCGGATACGGCAAAAAGTTGAACCGAGAAGTAAGAAATTAACGTTTATGGTATCCATCGCTTTCAACAGCTACTCACCAAAAGCCAATTAAAGTTTACTCGTGTCAAATCAATTTTAAAATTAACTTCTGTGCGCTATAGGTACTACGATAGATTTTTCCCCTTGAGTATGCCGTTTTTACAATTTATAATGTCTCGTGCTTGACAATGTATCATATTGGTGGAAAAACTCCCAGACCACGTATTTTGTTTGCGGGGTTTAAACATTTTCCATCCAATTTTATTTTTTGAAGGGAGCACAAACCGACATTTTTCCTTGAAGTTTACAGAGTTGTCCTCGCTTAGAAAGGAAAACTCACGGAAGTTTTCCAGAAGTGATTTTGAGTAGTTTTTCATTTAAAAAATAAGGTGTGACAGCTGAAGTCTGCAACGTCGCTAACCGCAATACGTTGTTCGGTTCTTTCACCGTTGATATACGTTCGCGGAGGGAGGGGATTTTCGTGATTTTTTCAACACAACCCTATAATTTTTGGAAACACGCTCGGGATTAATTGAGCGAGCCTATTTATTTATTCAGCGCTGAGTTTGACACGATGGATGCAACAATGCAAACTCGGGGGATGTCCGCGTTGCATACAAGAAAAAAGAAGGCGCTTTACTGTCTTCATCTTCACAACGGTGATGTAACTAAAGCAAAACGTCACATTTTAATGACTAAACTTGGAAATTAATCGTCTCCGATTCAGTCATTTCAGAACTCCCTTCTTAGTTTAAATTTCCTTGAGACATCGGTGAGACTCTTGAGCAAAGAAGTTGGCACCGTTTCTTATTGAAAAAATAAAAAAGAATAGAAAATTCTGAAATAATGCAATCGGAATACTTCTTGCCGATTTAGCTACCGACATTTAGCCGGCCGATGTATTTTCCGAAGCAAAAGACATTATGGTTCAGAGAACAGCGTGGGTAAGCGAGAGAACCTAAAGACACACGGTCTTTTTACATTTATTTGTTTTTAAATAAACCAGCACCTTAAAATACCCTTTTTGTGGAGCTGTGCTGAAGACACTGCGTAGGAAAATAATGATATGAACGAATATTCTTTTCTTGCTGTTCAGGGTCACGAGGTAAACGGGACGAGTGGTGAGAGTGACGTCATATCGTCGTCCGCCTGACATAAAGACGTAAGTACACTACGCGATGAACCCTGTCATCCATATACATCAATGCTTCCCCGGGCTCATCTCAAAGTGCAGTTACGTATCGACGATATACCTGCCAGACGCAGACACTAGAGCTGCCCAACCGTGAAAATCCACCTTAAACTCGACATTTTTCCCAGTCGACCCTTTCAAAGGCTCACTTTCGCAAGACAAATGCTCGACTGGACAGACTCTTCCTTCGGAAATTTAAGAAAGACACTGATTTTTCCCCAACTGCAAAAGGAAATAAAACCATAAGAAGTGAACCTCGTGATTCTCCTACATTTTGCGATAAGGGACTACTATTTTGGCTCATATGGGAAACAACGTAAGGGTCAACATTTTCCTACGTAGATAGGTGCAATTGTGGATGAACCGAAAATGGTGGCTCCTAATAACAAGATTCAGTCCGATTAGGCGTGCTTAAACTTATTCAAGCGCACAATTTTATTTACCGAGTTTACATTTTTCCGACTACTAATCCTTGGTGTTGATATAATAATGAAAATATTATAGTTTTCCACTGTACACTTCCACCTATTTTGTAAGTTTTAACGAACATCATCGAACGACATCAGTCTACATGTAAAGAGCGCCTACAATCAACGTGAAGACTACATACGATACGATGGTACAACTTTACATTCGTATCGAATTTATCAGAGAAAAATCAAGCTACGTTGCGATATGACACATCAAGTGGTTTACCGTTTTCCCCCTTTACGCAACTGTAAAAAAATGAACGCTAAAAAATCAAATTTGAAATACTCTACATGATTTGGACTGCATTTTGCAATTTGGAACTATAAATTCTGGCTGAACTGGAAAAACACTTATGTGCAAAGGGAAACTAATGGCACGTACGTCGTTTTTAAACCGGGCTAGAATTTATAGTTCCAAATTGCAAAATGTAGTCCATTTGGAAACTTTTACTGTTCTGCAGGAGAATCTGATGTGTGCTTATTGAACTTCAAATCACTCATCGTCGCTCCTCTGACGTATGGGCGTATCTCGATTTCCACGTGAACTCTGCTATCCATATAACTCCTGCTTTCCAGGACTCATGTGGAAATCGAGATACGCCCTCACCAGTGGCGTGGCGTGAATTGCGATACATCGATTGTTATGCCATTTAAACCTATGGAAAAGGATCGATAAACAGGGTGTTCGCAGCGAACACCTTAATAATCGATTCTTTACCAAGAGTTTAAATGGCATAACAATCGATGTATCGCAATTCACGCCACGCCACTGGCCCTTACATCAGCGAAGCGACGTCATAGCTCATTGTTCCTGAGAATTAGACATGGTCCTTCTATGTTAATCTCAGTCTATTTCATGTCTTGTTTTTGAAATTTGCAGCACCTTGTAATGAATTGATCAATGTCAATGAGAGTATGCGACATACTAATGCGATCAAGAGCATCGTAAAACCACTGCAGATTTTGCATTTGTTCCTGACACATTTCTCGATTACAAAGGACCTGATCATTATTGCGCTTCATTTACTCTGTGTACATTTGCGATTGTACTGGGCCTGTCCTATGAAATTGAGCTATTATTATCAGTATATTTAGGACGTGCACACTACAGTATATTAAAACTTTTTGACACACCAGATGTCTAAGCCTCTACTGATTGCTTCAACAACAGTGCACTGAGAACTACAGTTCTCAGGGCTTGAATGGAAAATTAGCTAATTTCATTCAAATGAATTTCGCGTCGATTTGGAAACAAATGATGAAATCCACCCGAACACCAAGTTTTCAGGTCAAATATGAACGGAAATATCTAATCTCAATTTAAAAATATTGGAGCATGACGTCTTCTACACATCGCAGCCTGCAGCAGTGATCTACAGGTTCATCCTCCTCTTATTGGTGTCATCCATGTTGTGCTTAAAGAAACTGAAGCAGATTGCGCATGATTAGGGTCGTAACATGAAGGAGAAACAAACCGCAAAGTCCAGTTCGTAAATGGCGTCATACTTCATGGTTTTCAAAGCAGTACAACTGTGCTAAAAAGGATGCCCTATATGAACACTCAAATGTTGCCGAATTCCCTCTTCAAAATAGTGCTGATTAAAGAAATTCATTAGTATTTTTTAATAACATTTTCAGAAATTTTAGATCAAATTACGGACAAAATTCCCTGAAAAATCGGAAGAAAATTTTTCAGAAATTTTCCTAAAAATTTGTGATTTTACAGAAGAATTGTGCGACGTCTGAAGGCTCATGCGGCGTGTCTCCTTAGCGCGGCAGAGGAGGTCGAAGGATTTATTATCTACTCGCACCTCATTTGAGTGATAATAAAGTTTTGAAAAATTAAAATTTTTAAACGTGCTGGGTTGTGTATGCGTAATGGTTAAATACATTTTAATTATGGTTCTTTTTCTTTCTATTCTGGTAGTGGTGAACTGGAAAAAAACACATTGAATTTTGAGTCCAGACTCTTAAAAACATAGACAAGAAGAAATACTCTTGTTTCATTCAGACTTTTGCTTAAATTAAAAGGACATCCGCTCAAATTAAGAGGCTTGGTTCTTGATTTAAGCAAAAATCCGATTGAATCAAGAGTATTTTTTCTTGTCGATATTTTTAAGAGTCTGGACTCTAGATCCATTGTGTTTCTCTTTTCCCAGTGTGATGTTGAACTTTTCAAGTCCCCACAAAAAACACCTCCGGACTGACATGACGTCACAGAGCTCCACAAGGTGGCGGGGGGGAGGGGGAGCGAAGTGCATGGAGGGCAGCTCCAACCTGCTCCAGCGAAACGTTAATAGACTCAGAACGAAAATAAAGACACTGGTCCCGGCTCAAGAGCGGCTCGGCGGATCGGATTGTGGACGGCGAGGAGATCTTCGAAATAACTCCGCGGAAAGAGAGAGTGAAAGAGACAACGGGGAGAAGAGAAAAGAGAGAGGGAGAGCCCGAGGGGTGGCCGGGAGGAGAGATAGTAGTAAAGTAGAAATTTTAAACAAGACGAAGCCGCGCTCCGGAGACTCCCGAACTCGTCCGAAGTTAAATATAAACTTGTAAAAACTATACACAAAGTTATCCCTACATCTATTTGCCCCTTTTTTAATCCGATTTCGGCCACTTACTGTCGCGTGCATTTTTTTTCCGCTCGGATAGTTGCAGCTCCGACCGCCGCCGCCGCCACCGCGCTACGAGAGTGCCTCCTCCACGTGTTTCGCATCTCGTCCACGTTCACTTCTTTCTGATAACTTGCTTTCCCATTTTTAAAAAACAAAGTTTAAAAAAAATTTAAAGAATTTACCGCGGGCGGCACCAGAATTTTCCAATTATTTTCGGCAATTTTCCGGCTTTTCACGAATTTCGCGAAGTGCTCTATCCTCATGGTATTGCCCCCAGTGCGAGTTGAACGATTAACCCTGGACGTTTTCGGATACCTACATCTATAAGTAAGTTAATGTTTCGCACTATTTGCTCTCCTGAAAAATCGTGTTTGCCGAGATACAAACTTCTGCAGTTTTACCATCGATTTGGAGGAAACTTTTTTGGAAAATTGAAGGATAAAAAATATCACGAGTTTGCTGAAAAATGGTATCTTGGAAATAAATTTGGCATCATACGAATGGTCATTGGACTATTTCCTTCAGCGTGGAAGAATAATAGATGTGCTGAAGGAAAAGTGGGTGACTGAAATGGACGAATCTCTGCTTAAAAGAACTAATTACGGATGTATTAAATGTAAAATACACGCGCGTAGGACTTTGCGTCAGTTTCTTTTGATTCAATGCACTATCGCAAAGATTCTTTCAGCATAAATACAATAAAATTAGAGAAAAATGAGTTTACAATGTTTGGAAGATAGCCAAAGGAAAACTCTCTGTGATTGTCCTAAAAATTTGAAATTGAAAAATTAAAGGGTTAAATTAAGGGTTATTTCCGGGAAAAGTTGGAACAAAATAAATCCAAAATTTTTAATCCAATTCAGAATCATAGCGATTTGAAGTTTCCGGCTCATAAATCGAAGTTTATAAAGAATCCTATTTGAATTTTAAATATGTAATGTCCGGGGCTCTTAATTGGACTGCATTTTGCAATTTGGAACTATAAATTCCGGCTCTTCTGGAAAAACACGTACGTGCACAGGGAAACGAGTGGCACATACGTTGTTTTTAAACTAGGCTAGAATTTATAGTTCCAAATTGCAAAATGTAGTCCAATTGTACATGGACCGCGAGGTACTTTTGGTACAAAACTTACAAGAACAACTTCCAGCTTATTCTCGCGGACACCGACGGCTATAATCCACCTATACTGCCGTCCTAAGGAAAAAGCTGTATAGACCTTCAGGCGTTGCCTTTCCTTTGATAAAACAAGGATTTCCTGTTAAACTCATATATATTTTCCTTCAAACTTTTTAGATAATTTTGTTCGCAATTTCATCTTAAGTTCCTGAAAATTTGAAGGAAAAATATTCTTAACATACCTCAAAAATAAACATTTTGTCGGAGGAAATGGCAACTATCAAATATTCATACGGCATTATTCCTTAGCACGGCAGTTTAATTCAAATTCCAACTTTTTTTTAACCAACTTGGGTCATACTCCTCAAAAATGTGCATCTGTGCACGCAGATTCCGTCCCACATCATCGAGCATGATTTTTGAATCTTGTATTTTTTCGATACGTCCAGTTTCATCAAACAATTCCCTATGAACCTACATTTGAGATTATAGTAATATGACTTAATCTAGAAACGTACTTATAGGTAAATTAAAATTTAAGCAAATCAGACAAAAAAATTATTCGTAAATTCAGCGTCAGGCATCTACGCGAAAACTAATATTATGGACCCTGGAGTTTAAGCTCAGGAAAGCAACTCTACCAATGTGATTATTCCTGTCTTCGCTTCGAAAAAGTGATACCTGTTGAGCTTGGCTTCTTGTAAAGCAACAATGCGGATTCGGTACACTCGAATTTTAAGATGTCTTTTGACCCTGAAAGTTGATTTTGGGAAAACCGCTCCCATCCTGCTTGCCGTGACATTTGCTGCAGTTTAAATGGTCGAATGACAACTTTTGCTACACGCAAAGAAGCAAATATTCACTTTCACATTAAGGTCTAGTACGATACATTGTTTTAGAACCTTCTTTTTTTAACTTTTAGCAAACATTTGGAAGAGTTTGATACTATCATGAATTTAAAAGTATGATAACATCATTTACAGGCAATATTTTGCTCCTCTTCCTGAACATATCAACGTGCTAACATTTACATCCACGGTTTTACTAACAGAAAATAAAAATGTACGGAAGTGCAATATTTTTACAAAGCTTAGAGGAACCGCGACAATACTTTAAGGGATATTCAAAAAGCTATAATTGACAAGCACCATGTTCAACAGTATTCCGTCAATTAGCGAAATAAGCGAATTTTGAATCCAGTTCCTCGCGATGAAAGTACGTAAAACTGAGTCTTGCTCTGCTTAATCATCAAATCTACAGGTTAATTTTCGCGATCGTGAATGATAGACCGCAACAACCAGTGTGAAGTCAAAACCTAACTCCCTCCATGGTAGGTTTTGGTTGATGCTATTAGCAGCAGTTCAGTTCTTGTTAGCGGAAAAAAGTGTTCGAGGTAATCGCTAAAAATTGTGCTACTCCCCCAACTTGTTGGATGGTATGGACGATCCAATTAATTTTGGTAGTACCGCGCAACATATGGGTTAATCTAGTTATTTGGGATACCACCGAAATCAATTGGAAGTGTCCAAGTTGGGACTTAACCCCTTCTTTTGTTCCGTGTTATAATCCAATTTGTTTAATTTACTTCTTAAGGTGAGTAACAATTTGAATGGTTGGCATCGTTGATCAAAAAGCAACGAGCAAAAGTTGTTTGTCTTCGATTTTTTTTTAAAAAAAAAGAAAGTAAAAAGTTGGTATAAGCCAAATTTCACTCAAAAAAAGTACGAGATATTCGATCGCAAAAATTTGGCTATCATTGTGCGAATCGGAGTGCTGACTTGCAAAATGTTACGTCACAGCTACAGTTGAGACAGCTTGAGGTCTCCAAAATCGGTCTTTAATCGTACCCCCAAATGAGGAGCTTTAAGTGCAGTTTTTGCTACTTCGAGAAATACGTGATTGAAGTTTCGAAAATGCATGAATCCTTCTGGCGAGAAGAAAGCTCAAACTGACTTTCTGATGCTCCATGATGGGAATTTGTGAGCAAATTTTTCACGGAATGTGCATTGACACTAGTTGTACTTGAAATTATTAATGTCCCAATTTTCCAAAAACTGCACTTATACGCCTTGTCCTCCAATCCCCTCAAATACTTCATCCGGAAGTATGAGTATTTATACCCCTCCACTATGGAGCAGACAACCATGTCTATGGACGAATTAGTCATGATGTAGGAATTTCCCGTTCAAGATCTAACACCAGACTCGTATTCGCACGCGGAGCTCGGCAGAGGGTGGAGGGGGAGGGAGGGAGTGCAGATGTAAATACTGAAACCAATTACAAACAAATTGGGCGTATCGTGAACTGAACTGGGTTAAATTTTGAGCAGAGCCGTTGGCCGTTGCGTTGGCACGCCAGTTGGATCAATGATCATTGTTCAGTGAACGGAACGCTCCCTACGAACACTTGAACCGCAGATTTGCGGCAGAAGACTGATGGGGGGGGGAGGGGGGTCTGTTGCATTTCTGAAAAGTGTGAGAGTGCATCGAAGACACACAGAAACTTTTCTGAGTATGCCGGAAATATGGTGCAAACTTTTACTTTCGGGGGCTCAATATTTTCATAAGGGCAACAGCACTAGTCGTGTCCTCTTCTGTTAGTTAGTTGTAGAAACTTGAAAATGTTAACTTTTTGTTCCTCCCACCACCCTTTCCTGCTTTCTTTCTTCACCTACGTACCCTGATGACGCATTAGTACTGCCCTGTTGCTGCCATTGCAAATAATCACTTATCTTATTGTTTTTGTTTGGTTTAGTTGGTCGGCTCGACCTCGGTTCCCGATCTCCCTAGCCAACTCCTGATCAGAGTTTTTCTTCTAAATTACAGCTTAAACAAACATATGATAGTTTAACCATCTAGATGACCATCTGGCCGAAACCCACCCCATGTTGGGGTGGTAATGCGAAACGGATGGAAATCGAAATCCCCGACTTTGGTTTTAGCACAGCCGGAGGAACAAGGTGCTTAAATTGTCATATCTTCGATAAGATTCGCCACTTTTTCTCCCGAAAGAACTACAAAAAAAAAAAAAAAAAATTTTTTTGTTCTTTCCACTATTTGTGTCCTTGTTGAAGAATACCAGTGCCAAGTTAAAGGGATAAGCAGTTACAATCAAATTTTCAAAATTAAGTTTTTCCAAAAGTTCGACTCATTCAAGCCTAAAGGGCTCGTTGTTCTCTCTCTGAATTAGTGATTTCCGCACACACAACAATAAAAAAAAAGCTTAATGAGAGTTGTGGTAGAGCAGTATACAAATCATTTTGTTTTCGTGTAATGCTTGCCTTATGGATGGAGTATCATAAGGTTTACACGAGAGAGAGAAATAACAGTGGTATTTGCTTCACATGGGAGATGGAATGCAAAATGACTTCGATTTATTACGTGTTTTCCCCATTTTTCCATTCTTGGGTTGCTGAGTATTTCCTTTCTCAAATTCATCTGAAATAATCCAAGAATTTTTTTTTAAGTGTGCCAAGAAATACACATTTTTTTTTAATAGTGTGTTACGTGACATGAAATACAAAATGAATACCGTACTTTGTTGTAGAAGTGACATCATCAATTACCGATAATTACTCTTATGATCTTTAAAAGTCTCACTGATGGTTTTTGAGAGTCCAATAGTTAATCAATTGATTGTCTAGTATTGTAAGGCTACATCCGAAAGAAAAAGGCTAGGCAAGCGTGAACACATTTTCAATCGATGATAATTACTTAGAGCAATGCAGAATAAAATCCCTGGTGCAGACACTTTACGAGTTTATTTATCGGTGAGCTTTGTGCGACAAGACCACTGAGAGCTCACACAAGTTGATGGAACAGGTGCGGAACGATTCATTCAATCCGTGATGAGATGTTTTATGGTCGGCAATATTATACATTTCGCAAAAAAGGTATACTTAAAGTCACCTCTGCCGATTGTGCCACAGAGAGAATGTCCTCACTCTAGGAGACCACGTATATAATTTGCTTGATCGATATGATTCTATCAGCGGAATGACCAGCAATGAAAGCACGAGGTGTAGAGAAGTGACCCATTAAAATAAAATAAAAAATTAATAGTATACTAGCCTTTTTTACGGTTATAATAGATACAAAACAAAAACTGAGAGGGAACATAGAGGCAAAGACCCTTCACTTCTAGAGGAACAGAGATTTGATTGGATATTTCCTAATAATTGACAAATTTTGTTATTTTACTATGAAGAT